CACTGTGCATCAATCTCTCTATCTTGGGTTCCATCTCTGGAACTTCTGCATTTGATTCCAGTGCAGTTACCAGCATCTCATATGAATCAGGAAGACTCGCTAACAAGTAAACAACCCTGTCTTCATTGGTAATGTCGACTCCAAGTGTAGACAGCTCATTAAAGATCTCTGTCAACGTTTTGACATGTTCCGAGATACTCCCTCCTTCTTTTAGTTTCAGTGAGTGGAGGCGTCAACGAAGGGCCATCTTGTTTGCCCAAGTTTTCCTCTGGAACTGAGTCAAGATCGTTTCCCAGACAACAGCAGGATCAGTAGGATCACAAACTAAGTAGAGAAGCAATGGATCGACTGACAAGACTATTGTAGCCAGAGCTTTATCTCTGTGAGTTACATACTTCGAGTATCCATCTTGTCCTTCTCCTACTATTCTTTCCTTGCCGGTTACAATTTGCCAGACTCCATCTTTCATAAGAGACATCTTACACTGCACTTTCCATGTAGGATAGTTTGTCCCTGATAATGGAGTTATCAACGATCTGCTCTCTGCCATCTGTCTTCCAAGGTTAGTACTATCTTCTGTCTTGAATCTAGTAGAGCAATGCTAGGCTCATAACCTGTTAGTTTTAACGGTTTCAAAAATATCACTAAACTCAAAAATGATAGAATATCATTCACTTATATTATATTAACACAAAAAGCATAAGGCTCAATTGTAACTAACAATGAACAAAGATAAGGCTTGCTCTAGATTAACGTCAAAGCCATACGGTAAACGTGAGGCTAACTTCAAGAGCAAGTTACAAAGATTAACAAAGATACGGCCTAAATCTAATTAATAACACAACTTCATCAACAAGTACACTAATTAACACATGCCTACATAAACATACATGTACAAGCTATAAAGTAATTACTGTAACACATATAAGTACCAAGTGTCTTTCTTCAATATTTAATTATAATCTTTTATCATTATTACTGTTATTAACTTGATTTTATTATTATTTGTTATTAATTACTATTAATTGTGATTTTGTATCTCCCCTTTTTCCTCTCCTCATCTCTTTCTCTCTTGTTTTATCTTTTTTTTCTTCCAAGGCTCTCCTAGTGACCTAGGTTAGTCCTTCAGTGTTCCCACTGCAAACATACTTTCTCTCTTAATCTACTACTCTCTTTTACTTGCACTGTAAAGTTATAGACCCTCTAGGCGCCAAGACTATTTTCAATGAATCATTTACAGTAGCCACCCACAATTAAAATTACTGACAGCAAGAAGCTCTCCACATCAAAGGCAGATCAAAGCCCAAGCTGCCAAAATGAAGCATAGCAAGAAAACTATGCTGCAGCAAGATTTACCTGGTCTATATGATGTAGTCTGGCCTCCATACTTTCCATAAATGCTGCTTGTGAGCCTGTAGTACCTTGTAGCACTCAGAAAAATGGCCTGGTGGTGTCACCACCTTTGATTTTTTTTTGATCTTGAGGCCTTCTTGCCGTCAGTAATTTACATCGTGGGTGGATACTGTATAGAAAAAAATTATTTATTATGAATGAATATCATTATTGTAAATGTTCAACATACCTGTTTACCAAAAAATCTGCCATCTTACTCCAGTTGAGAGGTGCGCGTTAATTAGACCGTTTGTTGCATAAGGTCCATTGAAAATACCGGTAGTCTTAGCTCCTAGCTAGGGGTCTTATTGAGCCACACCTTCATTGCAGCCCCACCTTTACATTGCTGCAGCATGCAGCATTGCAGCAAACATGCTGAAACTTCTTTTCTGCCTCAGAACTTCCACTGAGTTTCACTCTCACTTCATGCATTTATTCTAACCAAACAAACTACAAGTAATACAGATTGTGGCGAGAATACGCACTTTTGTGTTGTCGTTCATTTATTCATTTTATCCACTGCAATTCTCACTTTGAGGCTTTGTGGTTTTAAAAGGGGCTCTCCTACAGTCACCAAAACTTTTCCATGGGCTAGAAAAAGTTACTTTCTACTACTTTATCAAGTATAACTGACAGTGGAAGGCACCAAGCAGGTTCTCAATGGATTTTTTTGTGCTTCAAATAACAGGGCTTCTTCATCTCTAGAGAGTCACAGAAACTCAATCTGAAAAAAATTATGTAGCATTTTGCTGGAACTGTCTTTGTTTTTGAAGATATGGTTCCCTAAAAATCACTTACCTCTTGACTTTACA